TATTGGTCTCACCAATGTCAAGTAATATTCTTCTCCCCAAGAGAAAACTAGTCTGTTGTTCTCACACTGAAAGCTATTATATTGCTATGTTTAAAAATATATAGCTTAAACCTTCATGAAGACTTTGGTAACACTTTAAACAATAGACTCTACCACCACCCCTGGTTTTACCTTACTGAAAACATTTGTAAACATAGTTTACACTGACTTACTGGTAATATATTACCATTCATTCATCTAGGTGTCTCTATATTCTACATGTCTCTAAGAACAACAACAAATAGCACTAATTAAATAAGAGGTTATTTTAATATCTCATACGTTAACAATATTCTATATTTAATTTAAAATTACAGCTTAAGCATAACAGTAACAACACCAAGTTAATTTTATATAAGAATAGTAGTTGAACTGAATATTGCATCTGTGCATAATTTGCATAAAAGAAAGGAAAAATCCTATATAATAAAAGCCCAGCGACCAAATGGCAGAACAACCAGAATGACCGGCTGACCAGTTGCTATGACGCACACTGACCACCACAGGGCAGATGCTCAACGCAGGAGCTGCCCCCTGGTGATCAGTGTGCTCCCATGGTGGGAGTGCCACTCCGCTGACCGGGATGAGCAGCGCTCCCACAGCAGGCTGATCCCGCAGGCCACGCCTCCCACCAGTGCACGAATCCCGTGCACCGGGCCTCTAGTATAGTATAGAAAAACCAGTAGATTAAATTCAGTTAATTCATTGTATTCTTGGAAGGAAAGATATAGCAAAATTCAGTTTTGAAAAAAACAACATATATTTTAGGTGTTAAAATAAAATTTTCCCCAGACAATTTGCTGATCTACTAGGCATTAATTCAGCGATTCATGGATTAGGCAACATGCACTCTAGGAAATAGAAATGAGCTCTGAGGAGTTTACAAGGCAGAGATTTTTATAGCCCCAGTAAGCAGAAACAAAGAAGATATACTGGGTGTCTTCTGATTGGTTAGAGCAGGGGTACTTCCCTTATATGGACCAAAGGGAAGACTTGGAATGGGTCAGATAACTTGTGCTGAGCAAGCAAGTGCTAATTGACTGACCTAGGTCTTCCTTTGCTGGGAGAGCTGAGCATAGAAATTTAGTTAAGTTTTGGTTGGCTGACATGGGGCTTAGCATGAGTGACTCCATTTTGGCCTAATCTGATGACTGTAGCATACATTTAGCATTCAAGTTAAAGGCTTTAGTAACTGTTTTAAAGTATGCTCATGTACTTTAGACTTTAGGTGTGATAGTAAATGTACTCAGAATTGTATGTATTCAAAGGGAATCTCTGCACTGGCAATGAAGTTGAGAGTGAGCTATTGGTCTCATTTTCAATTCTCGGTTCATCTGTTCTAATGGAATGTAACTCACCCAGTGTGATATTTTTATTTTGTCCTGTGAGCTGTTTTTCTCATGGGGACACTGGCTTCTACCAGGCAATAAGGCAGTCATGTCTTCTCCATGAGCTCAAGGGCAAAAGCTCATTAAGAGCCCATAGGTGGGCTTAGCTCAGCATTACCCACCCCCTACAGCAGTGATGGCGAACCTTTTGAGCTTGGCGTGTCAGCATTTTGAAAAACCCTAACTTAACTCTGGTGCTGTGTCACATATAGAAATTTTTTGATATTTGCAACCATAGTAAAACAAAGACATTTTTTATATTTATTTTATATATTTAAATGCCATTTAACAAAGAAAAACCAACCAAAAAAATGAGTTCGCGTGTCACCTCTGACACGCGTGTCATAGGCTCGCCATCACTGTCCTAAGCCATCGGAATTCTTCGATAGCCCCATCCATGCCTTTGCATATGCTCCTCCCTCCTTTGCACACCCCCTCCCTCATGTGCGCCG